TATAAATATACATTCGGACGATGTCAATCTGTTATGTAATGTAATATGATTGTGAGTCCCAGAACATGTTACTAAATCTGCCTTCACATGATCAGTGGAAACACTACTGACTGTATCGCAGGGTTTCTATGGAGAGAGCCGTGCAGCCCGACTAGGCGGAAGCACAATTCTGGGCATTGCACACCACTCAAAATGGTCACAGAGCACTGTGCTTAAAGTTAAATTATTTAAACTTTGACCTCGGTAGCCACTGACCTTTCGAAGCGCAACACGTGAGATAACAGCAGTCTGCCACAGGCCAGCTAGTGAGCTAATCATAGAAAGAAAACTGTTTTCTGTGCAAGGCTCTATGCATTACCTCGTGGTGAGCAAGAGCAAAACAGCTTTACAGTTTCAATCCCATCACTTTCAATATCCCCTTTTTAAAGAAACTGCTGTAGAAATTGATACACATTCATGTCTCCTTCAGATGAATTATAATAAGTTAAGTGAATTATAATACGTTTTTTATCTAGAGGATCATCAAGTCAACAGTTCTATTTGTCACAATCTTTGTCTTATGATCAAATACCAAAAGCAATGATATTCCCATCATATTCAGAATTGCTAACATGGCCAAAAGCATCACTAAATAAAAACCTGTCATTGCTGATATTCATATTTAGTCCATCTGTGTCTCAGTTCGGCCTCACAAACACGCTAACATGACTGTAAACTCTTACAACGACTATCTATTTAAGGTTGTTTATACACTTTAATTTACCTTTTGCTATTTTATTTTATTAAATTGAGAACATAATCAGCCTGTCCTTACCGTAGAGTAAGTGTAAACAAATTAAACAGGAACTGAAGAGGCTTGTAGAAATAGAAAACATGTTGTTGAATAAATGGAGGGCAATTGAGGCTGAGTGAGGGAACACACAGTGGGTTTCGTGTGGACAGACCTGTAATTCATGGGAAGGAAAGGACCTTAACCTAGATAAGTGTCTTTCACCCAAGCAGAAAAAGAGAGCTCAACGGCCACATCATTCTGAAGAGAGAGGGGGATAGAAACAGAGGGCTCTTACAGGATGTTAGTCTGTTCTGTAAGGACGAGGGCAAGAGGGGTGGAGGTGACGTAGAGGCTGAAGCTGGATATGTGTGATGTGTGATGATGGTCCTTGGAGCTTTGACACAGATGGGAGGAAGACAAAGAGGGAATGATGTGAAAGAAAGAGAGAGACAATGACAGAAAGATGGAGAAAGGAGATCAACATGTTGAGACGGAGCCCTGGAGACACAGCCACCAGAGAAGCAGGGAATTATGGGAGTGCAAATTAAATTACACCGGAAGGGACAGTCAGGTCTGGACCTGCAGGAAACACGGCACATGGGGCTGAGTGTGTGTGTGTGTGTGTGTGTGTGTGTGTGTGTGTGTGTGTGTGTGTGTGTGTGTGTGTGTGTGTGTGTGTGTGTGTGTGTGTGTGTGTGTGTGTGTGTGTGTGTGTGTGTGTGTGTGTGTGTGTGTGTGTGTGTGTGTGTGCAGTGTACAATGTGTGTGATATAAACAGGTACATACAGAAATCAAAAGGTGTAAGGAACACAAGAAGGAAAGAGTAAAGAATGAAAATGACAGGTAGGAGAAAAAAGGATACATCATAACAATCATTCTATACACGGTGACTGCACCCGACTATCTGCATACATAAGTCCTCTTCACATCAGACAGTTTTACTTGTCATAGCAGGAAAAGAACAGGTGTTATATATATAAAAAATGACTCTGTGTTATTCAAGTGATGCAGTAAGTCATGATAGTGGGACAGTGAGACAGCATTCACGATGTCAGGACGTAGAAACCGAAGAAGCTAAATGGGATGTATTTGTTGAAACCTGTGCTTTTCCTTCTGTGTCGAAATCAATTTGGTTGGAAAGCCTATCAAATGATCTTGTTTAGATTTCAAGTTAACAGAAAAGTGGTGGAAAAGGTCTGTGGCTGATAAATTAGCTAAGTTGGCGTGCTCTTTAGAAACACGTTTAGCTCGTCTCAGCTACAGGGTTGAAGGTTTAAAGGTTAAGTAATTTCCTAAAACATCAGGCCACTGAAGCTCTTATTAATACAAAAGTAAATCGTGCATCTGTTGGGGACTATTTTCAGCTACGGATTAATACGCGTTTGAAGCACTATTCACAACAGCAGGATGGGGAATGTGGATTGACTACTGTGCCAATTTTCATTGAAGTGGAGAAACATGTCACCCAGTGCAACCGTGTGGCTCACTGGTGTGTTTCGAATAGTTTTTGGGGAAACAATGGAGCTGCATGGCACACAGGACTAGCATCTGCCCAATCTGTACCGTGCATGTGGAGATAAAACAGTCATTGACATGTGTTGTTGTTTCTGCATAGCATACTTTAGCTGCTAAATGATATAATAAGGTTGTACCAGATTGGTTCATAGACGTGAATACTTGCCAATAGCCTATCAAGCATTTTAGACTTTATCAGAAGCATCAAGGATACTTGTAATGGTATTGGAACAACTCTAGACAATATCTGCTGATATTTTTGCCCTAACAGTTTTCAATGCAACGTTAATTCTGTGACACCTACTTCGCATTTGAAGATATTTTCAGTTATTCCTTCACATCTTTTTCATCTCACTGCTTCTCTATCTGCCTTTTCCTTTAACTTTTTAGACATTGCAAAAACACATCCACACCATTCATAAACAATGTGATGACACTGTTTCAATCAATATAAACCATTTGGAAGAAGCCTTCGGAGGATGTTTAAAATGTGAATGAGGAAGTGGAGAGGTCTGAGATGAGAGAAATAAGACAGTAAAGAGTGAATAGCAATAGTTATTGTTTCAAGCTTTCTACTGTCTTTTTATTGTCCAGCAGAGTCGGTCTTAAAGGAGCAGGGTTGTGTGATGCAGGCCTGGGGTGCTGTTCTCTCACAAAGGTCACAGGAACACTGGAGCAGATTAGCAATTCAGATTGAGCTAAAGGGGCTAAAATGCTGCTGTAGCCCTGCCTGAGTCTGATTATATTAGCAAAGAGTAGGAGTGCAAATGCACACTAGTGATTAGCTAGCATAAGAGGAAAGTGTGTATATACGTTGCATGCACATACACATAGCACATACATATATGCATGCACACATGCCTAACAACAAGCTATGACTCACAATTATCGAACATACAAGCAGCACATGATTCCATTGTAAAGGTTTATCTTCAGTATATCCTCCCACTAACTGGCCTTCCTCACACACACACACACACACACACACACACACACACACACACACACACACACACACACACACACACACACACACACACACACACACACACACACACACACACACACACACACACACACACACACACACACACACACACATGGATTACCAGCACTCACAGCCCAGCACCCTGACCATCTGCCCTTGTACAACATCCATCTTGGGTTTGGGTTGCAGGATCATGATGAGGGCAGTTTTAAATGGAAGATTTCCTGCTTGCCTCGGTTCGTCCCTTGACCTGTTATAGTGCTCTTGTGGTGATACTGCAGCATCCCTGGCTTTTTGACCTTTTATATAACAGCTGTCATTATGATAATAGAACACTTTAATGTTAAGGACAAGAAAAGTGGTTATGCTAAGTATCAAACACATACAAATCTGTATTTTACAGCACAGCTGTAAAGTTGATCTGCCAAGCATAAATACAACTACACAGTATACACAGTACTTGCAGTGTAAGCATGCATGTACTGTATTTATAGCAGGAGCAGCACAAGCCAGACTAACATCATCTTGTGTCCTTGTCAGGCCAAACTCCATATTACCATTATCGTATTCCATACTTTTTATTGATTATGAGAGGTTCACACACCATACATAAACTCATGACAAAAGTGGTTGCTCTGTTCAATACATTAGGTTGGTCATGGTCTCTGTCCAGCAAAGTACACAATACTGTATAACCCTACTTTACTGACAGACTAATTGAAACAATGGACATAGTTCATATGTAAGTCCACAGCTAAAGAAACATGCAAGTCCTCCTAAAAGGCCTTTTCCTGGGCCTTCTTTCAGCACCATGGACAGTGGGACGTGCAGCTGTCTCTGAAGAAAACAGCCTCTGCAACAGTCCAGTGCACAACAAATGAAGCAGATTGAAGAGTAATTCAACCAGTGTATCCCTGCCATGTCACTATCTACAGGTATATGTTCTTTGTTTAACACTGCTGAGCTTTGATGCTTTGAGCTACACACATAAAAGTGTTAGTCTGTCGATGATGTAGACCTGGATTTGTTGTGGTGATGCTCGACATGTACTCCACAGCCTGAGATATGTGCTATCTAAGGTTGCCATGTTATTGAATCAACAAGCAAACTGGGGACAATACAAAGCCTGGATTATGTGCAGAAATCACTCGTGTGCTATTAACGATATTGAAATGAGCACCACTCAACAGCCCTCTCTCGCCTCATCTCAAAGAGCTGTGGTGCAAGCCCTTGCTCAAAATATCAAACGTCACTTCCACTGGCACATTTTACAAAGTGTTCTAGAAAATGTAACTCATTCCGAGAAAGAAAAACAATTATAAGATTCAGATTCTGCTGCTCTGTCCTCTAGCCTCCATACCATTGTCATGTGGTGCAAGTGTTGCTGTCATTTAGCCTGACACTCACATGCCAAATGATGCAGTAATTCAGTAGGTAGCCTACTGGTAGATCTCTAAAAAACTAATGGTAACATACTGACAGATATGCCCAACGGTTGCCATGGCGACTGCGAACCAGCCCCCCTAGATGTGGTGTTTGTGTGGTGTTTGGTTTATGTGTGATGTGTGATGTGTGTGTGTGTGTGTGTGTGTGTGTGTGTGTGTGTGTGTGTGTGTGTGTGTGTGTGTGTGTGTGTGTGTGTGTGTGTGTGTGTGTGTGTGTGTGTGTGTGTGTGTGTGTGTGTGTGTGTGTGTGTGTGTGTGTGTGTGTGTGGCCTCGACCTACCTTGCATTCCTCCATGCACGTCCTGACAGAGTATGCATCCGTCTCGTATTTCTCAACCAGCAGCTCAAACTCCCGGTAGTTCTCCTCTGCTTGCTGGTCAAGAAGCTGATAAGCCCGGACACACTTGCTGCATCCCAGCACATCCTGCCCCATATCCAAGGAGCAATTCAAATCGTCCGGACTCGTAAACCCGTGAAACAAATCCAAAAGTGAGTAGGAATTACAAAAAGAAAGGTACAAATCGCTCAGATTCACATTCGAAAACTGTGTCCCCTTTTCCCCTCCAACGGAGAGGCCCAGGCACACGGTCTCCGCGTCCGTGAAAGTAAAGCACTCTTTGGACCAGCTGTCTGGATGACAGGTGTCCATTCGCCACAGAGGTTTGGTAGAATTCCCTAGAAAAATAACATCTTGCTCTCTGGCGAGACGGTCGGGGTCAGGTGATGTTGGGATATGGTGTCGGTGGAGGGAGTTTGGGTACTCGCCCATGTCCGTAATTGCAAGCCCCTCTTCCGACCGCTTGTCTCGGGTTCGCGTGAGTTTCGCCTCGGCGCAGAACCACAAGTGATCAGAGAGCAGGACGGTGATGAAGAGCAGAGAGGCCAGCGACAGTCGCCATCTCTGGGCCCGCTCCGACTCGGTAAATGGCTTCTCGTTCTCTCGGGGTGCAAACCAGTATTTTAAGCCCTCATCATGCTGCCGACGCATCCAAGCACCCCTGGTCATATTTTAGGAAAGTGCTGCCCTGGCCGACTCCACCGCGGGGGCTGCTCTGCCACAATACTCATTGACTTGGGGGAGACGGACTCCGGTTGGTTCTCCTCTGTAGCGGTGGGGTACCGTGCCTCTGCCGGTCCAGGGCGCTCCTCTATCGCGCCCGCAGCAATCGGTGCTATTCCGATCCAATTAGCGCGCCCGCACAGATTAAGCTTCGCGCTGCCGCATCCCGGTTCTCCATGGCTCTCCGGGGGGAAACGGCGTCCTCTTTGACCGCATGCCCCCCTCTCCCTACCGTCCCTCCCCGGGTGTGTTGTCTTTTAGGGGACACAGCGAGACCAGCTGTTGCGAGCCTCTCGGTACTGATGCTGCGCGTGTGTCGCCGTTCGGTTTGCAGATTGACTTAAAGGAGAGCAGAGAGCCCTGTCGATGCACGCACTCTGTCCGGTACCTGGGCGGAACGCTTAGAATCCTTTCTCCCGTTGGCCATTGTCATCTTGGACCGCGGTTAAGTTGCCGCCATGTTCGTCTTGAAACACTTTTTCGGAGAGCTGGGTCGGTTTGCGTCATCTCCATCGTTGTGATAGCTCCATCGTTGCGCAGTGGCGGAGCAGCTTATTACCTATATGCACACACACAGAAACACACATACACAGGGAGGGAGGGAGAGAGAGAGAGAAGAGAGAGACGAGGAGAGAGAAGAGAGAAGTGAGCCAGAGAAGAGGAGAGCCAAGAGGAGAGAGAGAGGAGACGCGGACGATGAGACGGAGAGAGGACAGAGAGCAGATGGATGACGCGAGAAGAGGAGAGTGAGCCGGAGAGAGAGAGAGAGAGCCAGAGAGGTATGCAGAGAGCAGACGAGAGACAGAGAGAGAGGGAGAGGAAGAGAGGGGGTGGGTGAGCACGGACACACTAAGTGTTAAGGCTATCCTCTGCTCTTCATGAGTATTCCCCAAATATTGTCTTTGCAGGGCACAAACCCAACGACTTTTGGCGACATCTTGCTTTTGGTGCAGGATAGACTCGAGTCCATTCAACAGAACAACAGTGCATTTTTTTTTTTTAAATCAGTTTTTATATATAATTATTCAAATAGATAGATACCCACAATATGTACCACAAATCCTCAAATAACATGGCCCAGCAGGTATAAATAATATCAAGGAAATTATTACTTTGAAACACTAGTGGAAACTAGTCAGGCATGATTCTCTGAACAAGTGGAAAACAGCTGAACAAGCAGGGCTTTGAGCTTGTAGGTTTAACAATATCATGTACCTGTTTCCTGCACCTGGGCCCCCATCTTATCAGCCCTGTTGTGTTTGGCCAGTGGGTTTAAAACAAACACATGAATTACAGTATGGCCCTATATGTAAAGTCCCTGTGTGTGACAGAGAGAAAATGAGGGGGAGGCAGAGGCGGTAGTTGCTCTTAAGGTGCTGAAAGTAAATTACAGTATGTATCCTCTTCCTTAGAGCTACTAATCATTGTCAGTGTGTATGGTTGAAGATAGGGTTGCTTAATGTTAATGGTCTGTATATTAGAAATAAGACAAGAGAAGATTATTAATGTGTGCTGAAGGCAGGGCAGGAGCAGGCATATACAATGTGTTGTTGAGGAAGAAAAGTGCTCTTCTCACACCGGTCCCATTAGCTATAGTGCAGCCACTGTCCCTCTGCCAAAAACATGATGTGACAACATGAATAGTACCGGAAATTAAATGAAAATGTTTATATTGTTCTATTTTTTTCCATGGCAAGGTGAAGCCAATTCATTTGTATAGCACATTTCAGCAACAAGGAAATGCAAGGCTTTTTACATAAATGCATTAAGACATAAAGCAAAAGAAACACATTATAAAACAACAACAGAAAAAAATAGGTATAAAATACAATAACAACAGAAAGAGTATTTTATTTAATAAAAGGCAACAGCAAACAGAAAAGTCTTCAGCCTTGATTAAAAGGATAGAGATTTGCAGCGTTTGTGGGAGTTTATTCCAGATATAGTGCATTCAAAACTGAGCGTTGCTTCCTCGTGTTTCTTTGTGTCTCTGTGGACAGAAACCAGGCGACCTGAGTGTTCTGGATAGTTCATGATGTAGCAGAAATGTAAAATGTATTTGTGCCCTAAAGCGGTCAGTGTTTAAATATTATTAGGGAGATCAGCACTGAACTTCAGCACCATGGACAGCTGCTTACTTCTGTCTGAGTGTACGTTTTCTCAGCTTCCTGTCACAGAGGGTTACCTTGTAAAACTAGCCTCAAAAACAAGTGTTCCCTTTAGTTGTTGCTGGTGTTGCACCTCCTGTTGAGTGTATTGAAGAGCTGTTTAACATCAGAAATCGAAAAGGCCAGTAATGTGGGCCATTTCTTTTATGGTCCGAGTGGAGGGAATACGTCTTGACACTAACATAATTTGCTGATGTATCACCAAATGTCATTGCTCACACACTGAGGTTCAATTTGCTTGATGTATTTCTTTTTTTATTCACCTCTGATTGTTAGGATGGCTGAAAATTCGCCATGCGGGGCCTGAGTTTTGGTAGGGACATTAACTGGATTTGAAACTGTGGATGGTGTTATGGCAAACATCTGTTGTGTCATTGCTAAGGATGCTTGAATGCTACCCATTCATCAGTGATTGCTGCCACATATTATGTCACCGCAGGCTGCTGTGATCATGCCTCGCGGGGATAGATGTCCTACTTCAGCAGGGACTGTCTCGTCTGCCTCTACCTGTAGTTCCTCAATTTTGTGCTCTGTCTTTGACCCTGACTGTATGTGTGTGTGTTTTTTTGCATGTGTGTGCCTGCCCCCTCCTGCACTGTTGGTAGACATATGGATAAGGGGACCTTGCCAGGAGTTTCATAACACCACTTTTCGATCGTTTGATTGGTTCGAGCTGACTTATGTCAGCTCCTGAGAGGAGGCCAATTAACAACATACGTGTGTCTGGCACAGCACAGAGTTGTCAGTTTCACCTGGTGTGTGTGCGTGCGTGCGTGCGTGCGTGCCTGCCTGCGTGCGTGCGTGTGTGTGTGTGTCTGTGTGTGATAATCAGTACGTCATTCAATATAAAAAAAAACTTTTATATCTATTTTTACATCATTGTTCTGTCTGGGATGTCAAAACTCAATCATCTATTTATAAATGTCTATTTAAAAGTGTTATATTAACAATTACAGGGTTGTTTGAAGCCTTTAAAGTCATTTATAAATCTGAACCTTGTCCAACTATAAAAAAGTCATCACACACTGCATTGTTTTGCTTGTGTCATGCACAAACTCATACTGTTTGTTCTTTTAAAGGGCCCTTGTCATGGCCATTTCCACTGATCATAATTCCATTGTTGAGGTATACTAGAATAGATTTATACGGTGCAATTTTCCAAACTCACATTGGTTTCTCATACAGCATCTCTGTAAAGTATGTGTATTCACCGGTATTCACTCTCTGTCCTAAACGGCTTGTTGGAGCTCCTGCCCCCCCCCCCCCCCTCCCTGTGAGCCCAGTATGCTCCGATTGGTCAGCTCGGCCACTCTGTTCTGATTAGTCAACCACCAGAGAGGCTCCGCCCATGTCACAGTGCTTTTTTCGGCTCTGAGCGGAACATCCACAATGATATGTTATAGGAGCAAATAATTCAGGGAAGAAAGGCTACTAAGTATTTCCATCAAACTTTATTTTTAGAAATGTACAAAATGAACATGTGTAAATATACATATATACACATATCATCCATTCCTCCCCTTATAGGCGTTTTCGGCATCTTGCCTATCGCAGCTTTGTAAGCTGGTGCTGGGGCTTTTTAAGACGAGGCATCAGAGTGGTCATCCCGTCATGTGTTGTCCGACGGATACGCCAGGAGTTTCCTGATCTGGCTGGACAAAATCAAATGCAAATCACAAAATATTAGAGAAACTTAGTTGTTTTAGGTTCGTTAGCTTGCCAGCTAGATTAATATGCTAACCTACGTTTGCTAGTTGTTCAGTGTAATATGCCAACCTACTATGAACAACAGCTAATGGTTCATATTAGGCTAGCAAGAACATGTTTACAATTGCAATCTTATACGGGTATTCTGCTACGTTCGGTCATTCATTGTAGCTGGCATAAAAACAATGTTTTCCCTAGCATGTCTAGCTCTTGGTAGCCTTCTTGTTTAGCTCGGTAGCATACACGCTAGGAACGCCAACTATAATGTAATTAAGTTTTGCGACTGACCGTACGGTAAATCACCCGGAGTATACTGTCTATGAGTATTTTGTGTGTGAATGCAGACATTCTCCTGCTATGAGATACATGTAAGGCCATCTGCTGACATTGGAGTTGATATATGGAAACGCTATAACTTAGTTAGCCCAGTTAGCACTGTGTCAATGGCTGAGCAGCCCGAAACACGTTTACCCATTTAAACAGTCGTGGTAGATACCTTGTTTGTTTAAAACATCATAAATACACAAACAACAATGAATACTTACAGGTTCTGTACCCGAATCTCCCGCTGGTCCAAACAAAGTAGGAACAGCATCGTCCTTCAGTGTCCTACGCTGTGCATATCCGGCATGAAACGCTGAAAGGTTTGTGAAGCTTTGTTTCGTGAAATGCTGGCAGAGGGTGTGGCCTCTGGGTATTCACACGTCACAGTACCCAGGAAGTAAACAATGGAAAATGAGAAATCTCCAACGAGGCGTTTTGGGGCAGCATAGACTGTGTTAGAGTTTTACTCCCTACAGGGTGTACTTTGAGGGTTTTTGACTCTGCAGACCGTTTACATGCATAAAAACCTTCATAACACACAAGGGGACGGGTAATAACCGGAAAAGCATGACATGGGACCTTTAAACCACTATGCCATGAGAATTTCCCCCCAAGTCGTGTTTCCCTCTATATTCACTCTGATCCCCACAATGTGTTTCCCCAGCCCTCAGCATTCTTCACAGGCAGAGACATGGAGGAGGACAGAGGTGGTTGCTAGACTGGACCTAATGACAATCTGAGGAGGAGAATGGGGGGGGAAGAAAAGAGACAGGGGACGTCAGCCAACTGTGCCACAACCTTCACACCTCCTCCGAACTGTGTCAGAGTGGAAATGGACCTCTTAAGGGGAATCTGTCACTTTATCTCCTTCCATCTCATGTCCTCTCTTACCAACAGGCTCTGGGTTGCATGGTCTTCCCTTTTTTTCCTCCTTTCAATGATCTGTCAGTATATTGTTTTTCCTCTATTGCTTACTGCCACCAGCTCTCTCCACCCTTCGCTTCCTTCATCTCCCACTCAACAGACCCTATTCAACTCATCTGATATATGTCTTCCTTAAGCTCTTCATCATCATCCTTCATCCTTCCTCTGGATCTCAGTTCCACTCTGCTCATCCACTGTCATCTGCCTGACGTCAGAGCGCGTAAGGGACAGGCTCAGTCGCTCTGATTGGTCAGAGAAGACAACACCCTCAGCCCTGGCTTACTGTCCTCAGTGGATGTTACACAGAGACGTGTGATTTAAAGTG